ACATGTGCCCCCATAACATACAGCTTGCTATTGGGGCACACGCAGGAGAGGAGGAGCAGGGAGCGCCCATGGTGGACTTCAGAAGAGGAGATAAGGGGGCTGCTCTGTGCAATATCCTTGCACAGAGCAGATGAATATAACTTTTTATTTCAAGGAAAATAATGTGAGCCTTTAATATCACTTTGAGGATTAGTAAGATGCAACATGTAATATTTTTGTTAGTTAGGGGAGATTGATGAATGTGCACTAATTGACAACTTGAATTCTTATTACAAAGGTAAAGTAGTATTCCAGGCTATTGCTAACTAAGCTTGAACCTACTTCCCCCAATCATATTCTAACTACCCTGTGAAAGGAAGATGCTTGAGCTGAGGGGCGCTCCAGTCCAGTCACGTGATCGCCTTCGAGGCGAGAAGAGGGGCAGCCAACAACGGATGTCCAATAGTAAGCCTACAGGTGATGTCACTGCACAGTCTTTGCAGCCGATCTCTCCTCTCCCATGAAGCCGGCGCTGGGAGGCGATCACGTGATCAGACTAGATTTTTAGTGGAACATGTAACATGTTCCCACTGCTGCAGTTGCTGCACACTGCCCTCTCTCCCTGTGACATCAGTACAGAAAGAAGTTCCCCATATTGGCTGTTACTTTTTTAAAACAGCATGGCCGTGGTGGGGGGGGGGGGGGTGTCTCTCTGCCCATATGGCTGCGTCATTCATTCACAAAGTTTTGTGAATGAATGAACTACAAATCCCGACAGCTTCTGAATGAGCTGCCACAATGATTTTGAGCTCATTTATTCTTCCTGTCACAGTGTATCTGCTTGTCTGTACAAGGTACAAGTACACACATACACTGACAGGTTTGCAGGAGTCCTCCATGGAACCAGCGATCTGCTGACTGCTGTTGCAATCCGTTCCAGGCTCAAAAAAAAGAGTAAATGGACTTTTTTTTTTTACCTGCAAAAAATTGGCTTTTTTTTTTTTAAAGTTAACTATCTTTAAGCATACTTAGCCTGCACTTCCACTTTACAAAGCAAGCTCCAGCACCATAAAACACACACCTCTTAATACATCTGTTTTGTAATAGATGTGATATTTCTGCTTTCATTTATGAAAAGTCAGTTAATTTATCCTAATGATGAATGTACAGGTTTATTACTTACTATCTCGACCGAGTAGCTCTTTCATTATCAATCATCCTCTCCAACTTTTGTTCTAGCATTTGTTACTTGAAACAACTCCGTAATCACTGTACAAGTAGAGGAATCTCTAGGATTCTCTAGCTGTTTACCTATTGTGTTCTTTTGTTTGACAGTGAAGGGTTAGAAGTTCTTTTAGTACATCAAGTAAAGGGATACAAAAGAGGTGCTGTCCATTTTACAGTAAATTCGAACCATTGTTTGAGACTAAAGTAGAGTAATGGACAATATCAGCTCATCTTGCATATCAGAATGAGTGCTGTTGAATAGTCCTGTGTACTGTCCTGTATAGTGATTGATCTGACACTTATTGTCATTCTTGTCCTTTAGGAACTGGTGTGCGTACATCGTCAACAAGAATGTCAGCTGCACGGTCATGGAAGGGACTGAGAGTTTTATCCAGCCTCAGTACAAATGTGCCTGGAATCAGGTTCACTGTCAGCCAACATTAGCGTAAGTGATTTTGAAGTCACTGTATGGAGAATATAAGGCAATTTGATCACTGATAGTTTTGAAAATATTGCTGTAGTATAACTAATACAATGCAGGAGATGCTGCATAGTGGAGCTGAAGTGTGTGGTTTAAAAATTGTCATAATTATGTGATAAATGTACTGTATTACAGAAAGTTAATTAACTTTAAGTCCTCATGCACTCTTGACGTTTTTAGAGCGGCTGTTTTTGGCTTTTGACATTTTTTTTCTACAGCTAGTAAACCCCCCAGCATGTTATCCTATGTGTCCATGCACACATAGACTGTAATCAGTGTTTTTTGGCTGGAAAAAAAACCCCAGGACTTGTGGGTTTTTTAGAGGAGTTTTTAGCTATAAAAACGCTCTAACGCTGAAACACGTGGTAAAACGCCGCAAACCGGCGTTTGTGGACTTTTTTTTGACCCAAAAAATTTTTTGCTAATGCAAAAAGGCTGAAAAACATGTTTTTAATGTGACTTTACACAGCTAACGTTACCAGCATTATCAAAACGTCCAGTGTGCATGAGGGCTAATTCGATGGTTTTCTAAATTCTTTATGTACATGGCTGTACAGTGAGCAGATCCTGCCCAATCACTTTCCTCAGACCTACTGCCACTGCATAGAGCCAGATGAATTAAAAGGTGCAACTGTACACAGTTATGTGCCAGGGGTTGCATAAAGCATGTGCAGAGACAAAAGCTCAAAAGGCAGATAGTGTGTGTTCAGGGCATACGGTTGTGTTAAAAATAATAGCAGTGTGTTGAAAAAAGTGAATAAAGCTCAATATCCTTCTAATAGCTTTTATTTACATACACACAAATGCATTGGGAACACTACACTTTCTATTCCAAATCAAAACATGAAGAAAAATATATCAAATTTGTGTTGTTCCTCTAAAAAAAAAATTGAAGAAAAGTGAATATTAGACTGTTCAAAAAAATAGCAGTGTTTGTATTCTTCCTTACAAACTCAAACATTCACTATATAAACTGAAAAATGTTTGAAGATTTTGCTTTCCTTTGAATCACTTAATGAATATTTAGTTGTATAAGCACTGTTTCTGAGAACTGCTGTACATCTGTGTTGCATGGAGTCAACCAACTTCTGGCACTTGTGAACAGGTATTCCAGCCCAGGATGATTGGGCTACATTCCACAGTTCTTCTCTATTTCTTGGTTGTGCCTCAAAAACTGCATTTTTGATGTCACCCCACAAGTTTTCTATTGGTTTAAGATCCGGGGATTGGGCTGGCTACTCCATAAAGTTGATCTTGTTGGTCTGGAACCAAGATGTTGCACGTTTACTGGTGTGTTTGGGGTCGTTGTCTTGTTGGAACACCCATTTCAAGGGCATTTCCTCTTCAGCATAAGGCAGCATGACCTCTTCAAGTATTCTGATATATTCAAACTGATCCATGATCCCTGGTATGCGATAAATAGACCCAACACCGTAGTATGAGAAACATCCCCATATCATGATGCTTGCGCAACCATGCTTCACTGTCTTCACAGTGTACTGTGCCTTGAATTCAGTGTTTGGGGGTCGTCTGACAAACTGTCTCCGGCCACTAGACCCAAAAAGAACAATCTTACTTACATCAGTCCACAAAATGTTGCGCCATTTCTCTTTAGGCCAGTCAATGTGCTCTTTGGCAAATTGTATCCTCTTCAGCACGTCTTTTTTTCAACAGTGGGACTTTGCGGGGGCTTCTTCCAGATAGCTTGGCTTCACATAGGCGTCTTCTATTTGTAACAGTACTCACAGGTAACTTTACACCTTCTTTGATCTTCCTGGAGCTGATTGTTGGCTGAGTCCTTGCCATTTTGGCTATTTTTCTATCCATTCGAATGGTAGTTTTTCGCTTTCTTCCACGTCTTTCAGGTTTTGGTTGCCATTTTAAAGCATTTGCGATCATTTTAGCTGAGCAGCCTATCATTTTCTGCACTTCTTTATATGTTTTCCCCTCTCCAATCAACTTTTTAATCAAGGTATGTTGTTCTTCTGAACAATGTCTGGAACGACCCATTTTCCTCAGAATTTCAGAGAGAAATGCACTGTAACCAGCATGTACAACATTTGCTGCCTTCCTTCCTTAAAAAAGGGCAATAATTGCCACCTGTTTTTCAAAGAATGAATGACCTCACTAATAGAACTCCACACTGCTATTATTTTAAACATGCCCCTTTCAATTAGTGATTCAATTACACAGAATCAGCAGCATGTATGTCATGACTGTTGGGTCTGTTGGATTTCTATTACTCTACTACACCTGCTAGTAAATTATTTGCCATGTAGAAATATAATTTCTATCAAAGACAGTGTTTGATCAGGTTAGTGATGTCTGACTGCTATTATTTTGAACACAACTGTATGTCTGGGTGGGTGCTTTCTGCAACCCCCAACCCAAAAATCATGTACAACCACATCTTCTAAAATAATTCACTTGAATGATTGGTCATACATGGCCACTGTGGGTCCTGGAGTAGTGATGATGCAGACTCTGCATGTTGTATGGCTGCTGTACAGCCATGTGCACAGGCTTGATCAGTCATCTCTCCAAGAACAACTGGTGTTAAAATATATTATCGAACTAGAAAATATTAATTTCATAATACTTGTCAACAGTGACAGTAGTGTGTGTGTAGTATGAGTCTACATTAGGGATGAGTTTCGCTGTTTGGCCTGAACGCTGAACATTTAGGGCATTGGGCGTGGACAAATGTGGCATCTTCTGGCTGTCAAAGGTTTCTAACAAAGCAGAGGCTGCCTGCACTCGCTGTGTCCTCACCAACCAATATTGTCACACGGTCCATTTACTTACATGGCTGGGAATCCCCAAGCAATAGGCAGGGAATGGAGCAGGTTATGTCATTGCCTAAATATGGCCATATTTGGGCAATGATGTCAACACTATCCCAGCAGTCAATAGCTGCTAAGAAAGCAGCGGCTACTCGCACCCACTGTTTCCTTACCAACCACTGATGTCACTTGACCTACTCAATGACGTGACCAGGAATCCCCAGACACAGGAGCAAATAGGAGGAAATGGAGTGTTGCCTCATTGCCTAAATATAGCCATATTTGGGCAATACCTTGGATTATGTTTCTGGTATGGGTGTAAGTACTCTTCGGCCAACTATTCACAATTCAACTCCTTTTTTTAAAAAATCAACATTTGTCAATCTGGGTGTTGCTGACAGGGCGACCCACCAAACAAATTTTAGCTGATTCAGCATAATTTAGTCAAAATTCAATCCATGTTTGGCCAGTTAACCTGGCTGCTGTACTCATTATCACTCCAAGATAGCCATGCCTATTACAGTCTGATTTACAGTATCCTTTAATCCAGGGATTGAAATCTCCACTCGCCTGCTCGCCAATGGAGAGTGGACATTATGGTGGGGGCGAGTATGTCCCCCAGGGCCATCTTGCTGAGCAGACTCGGAGCTCAGGCCGGATTTTTCATTGGCACTGGGAGCCGTCAGACTGCTCAATAGCTGAGCGCAGTGAAAGCAAAGCAAGGAGTGTCTGCTGTGCTCTCTGCCTCTCCCTAGAGTGCAGTACCCGGATCTGTGAGTGAACAACAAAGTACTGCAACTTTTTATGGGATGGGAGGGTGGTGGTGTGTGTGTGTACGTACGTGTGTGTGTGTCTGTGTATGCATGCATAATTGTAATACGTGTCTGTGTGTGTGTGTACATGTGCCTGTGTGTGCATGTACGTGTGTTTGTGTGTATGTACAAACATGTGTCTGTGCTATGTGTCTGTGTGTATGTGCGTGTGTATTTCTGTGTATGTACATGTATCTGTGTGTATGCGTGTCTGTACGTGCCTGTGTGTGTGTACATGTGTCTCTGTGCGTGTGTGTGTGTGTGTACATGTTTCTGTGTGTGTGTATGTACGTGTGTGTGTGTACAGGTGTCTCTGTTTGTGTGTGTGTGTGTTTGTTGGTGGCGAGTAACTCTAAGGCCTGGCTAGTAGCTCAGGACTTGAAATTTTAAGCCCTGATTTAATCCATACATGCTCCTTCAGACCAGTCAAAACCATATAGTTGAAGGCCTGCCCAAGCAAACCAATATACAGTTGCAAGAAAAAGTATGTGAACCCCTTGGGATTACGTGGAGTTTTGCATGAATTGGGCATAAAATGTGCTCTGAACGGCATCTAAGTCACAACAATAGAAGAACACAGTCTGCTGAACATAATACTACACAAATATTAGATGTTGCCATGGTTTAATTGCACATAACATGTAAACATTCACAGTGCAGGGAGGAAAAAGTATGTGTGAAGCCCTAGCTTAATGACTTCTCCCAGAGCTCATTGGAGCCAGGAGTGAGCCAACTTTGACTCCAATCAGTGTGATGATATTGGATGTGTTGCTGACAGCTGTCCTGCCCTTAAAAAACACACACCTGTTTTGGGTTTACTGGTTTCAAGAAAGCACTGTCTGATGTGAACCATGCCTCGCAGAAAAGAGCTATCAGAAGACCTACGATCAAGAATTGTTGACTTGCATGAAGCTGGAAAGGGTTACAAAAGTATCTCCAAAAGCCTTGATGTTCATGCGTCCACGGTAAGACAGACTGTCTACAAATGGAGAAAGTTTAGCACTGTTGCTACTCTTCCTAGGCGTGGTCGTCCTGTAAAAAATGACTGCAAGAGCACAGCGCAGAATGCTGCATGAGGTAAAGAAGAATCCCAGAGTGTCAGCTAAAGACCTACAGAAATCTCTGGCACATACTAACATTTTTGTTGACACATCTACAATAAGGAAAACATTAAACAAGAATGGAGTACATGGGAGGACACCACGGAGGAAGCCATTGCTGTCCAAAAAGAATATTGCAGTACGTTTGAAGTATGCAAAAGAGCACGTGGATGTTCCACAGCACTACTGGCAAAATATACTGTGGACAGATGAAACCAAGATTGAGTTGTTTGGGAAGAACACACAAACACTATGTGTGGAGAAAAAAAGGCACAGCACACCAACATCAAAACCTCATCCCCACTGTAAAAACATGGCGGAGGGAGCATCATGGTTTGGGGCTGCTTTGCTGCCTCAGGGCCTGGATGGATTGTTGTCATTGATGGGAAAATGAATTCCAGAGTTTATCAAGACATTTTGCAGGAAAACGTACGACCATCTGTCCGCCAACTGAAGCTCTGCAGAGGATGGGTGAGGCAACAGGACAATGACCCAAAGCATACAAGTAATTCAACAAACCAATGGCTGCAACAGCACAGAATACGCCTTCTGGAGTGGCCCAGTCAGAGTCCTGACCTCAACCCGATTGAAATGCTGTGGCATGACCTTAAGAGAGCGATTCACACCAGACATCCCAAGAATATTGCTACACTGAAACAGTTTTGTGAAGAGGAGTGGTCCAAAATTACTCCAGATCGTTGTGCAGGTCTGATCTGCAACTACAGGAAACGTTTGGTTGAGGTTATTGCTGCCAAAGGAGGGTCAACCAGTTATTAAGTCCAAAGGTTCACATACTTTTTCCTCCCTGCACTGTGAATGTTTACATGTTATGTGCAATTAAACCATGGCAACATCTAATGTTTGTGTAGTATTATGTTCAGCAGACTATGTTCTTCTATTGTTGTGACTTAGATGACGTTCAGAGCACATTTTATGCCCAATTCATGCAAAACTCCACGTAAAACAGGGGTTCACATACTTTTTCTTGCAACTGTATTTTTTCCAGTCAGATACAAAATTGTAGAGCATAGTTGTTGGAAGATCTACTTTAATATGTACAATCAGATTGCAAGGTGTATATAATATATTCAGCACAATTCTCAGAATTCATAGCATCTTCTGCTTATATTAGCCTAACTATGTTCAGCCTTATTTTGGGCAGTAGACAGTTTGAGATCCCTCATCTGTAGGAACAATCATGATCTCCTCCCTAGGTGTGACTGATTCATGTGCAGATGCAGTGCACTCACAATAAGAAATTTGTTACCTCTTCTCCATAAGAAAGGGACATTTCTGAGGGGTATTGCAGACATCTTCCACAATGTTGGTAAATCGTTATGTGTGATAATGAATGTTTCTGACACTTCAAAGACTCATTATTGGTTGTTGTCATCTCATACATGATTATTTATAGCAAGAGATGTTTGAGTTTGGAGCATAGCCTGGGGCTGTATGACTGAACACTGGTGATTACACATCTACACATTGTGAGATTACTGAAGAGATGAATTAATAGTTCTCTGGGGACTTTTGTCATTTTCACATAATAGTTGGTTCCACTGCAAACCAATTGCTAATAGAAGTAGAGTGGATAAAATCTGGATTGAAATCGCCTGTGAACAGCGACCACCAGGTGGTTTGGAACAAAAAAAAAGTTTTAAAGCTTTAATGTACATGTAAAAAGGTCCTGTTTTTCAATCCACCTCAGTCAGGGTCACATACTGCCTGGGGCCCGCGAACATGTATCTGATCTTCAGCCTTAAAGTGATTATAAACCCTCACCTTGTAAAACAACCCATTCAGTTTAAAATAGAAATTAAAGGAGGAGGAGAAGGAGGAGCACATTGATCTTCCCAGTGATAGGCTATGCAGGCGAGGGGGGCTGTCAGGACAAGTCTGATCATTGGAGGAGAGATCAATGAGTTCACAGCATAGCTAGAGAACTGACCACGCTGTGCTCTCATGCCTAGCGTGGTCAATTTTTAATAGGAAAGCAGAGGGACTGGCAGGAACACCAGGGATTTTACACAAAGGAAGCAACACAAAGAGAACAGGATACTTTTCATACAAGTACATGGTACAGAAGGCACATATCAGGAATATGAAATTCTTTAAGGAGACTTGATTGCAGGTTGTTTAGATGACTTTTTGTCAAGGGCATGATGACCTATGTATTTCTAGTGATAGCCTATTTTGGAGAAGGGTGGCAGAGAAGGTCACAAGCACTGTGCTACCAGCAACTGTTGAGTTACCACACCCCAACAGCCTCTGGACATCATGACTGCAACTGTCAGTCTTGCAATGCCTCATGGGACATGTATATCCACAACAGCTGGAGGGCAACAGGTTGCTAACCCCTGTTCTAAATACTGCCTTGCCTGTAAAAACATATCCTCTTCAACCTGTTCTGCCATTATGGTGAAATGTTAGCAGGGTCATAGAAGGCTCTCCAGGACACTCCATGGGCCCAATTAAACACACAAATACATTTCTTCAGAGGGTTTGGATCCTTTATAAATCAGTGTGCTTGTTGGCTGTTGTCATGATGAAGGGGAAGGCAAAACACAGAGGCAGATCTGTAAGCCTGTGTGCACTGATAAAGGCTGTTTAGTCAGACGACTTATAGATGGTGTTCAGAAAAGGCTCAGTGTTGTGTTTTGGCCAGCATGTTGTATACTCACTGGCCACTTTATTAAGTACACCTGTTCAATTGCTTGGTAACACAAATTGCTAATCAGCCAATCACATGGCAGCAACTCATTGCATTTAGGCATGTAGACGTGGTAAAGACAACTTGCTGAAGTTCAAACCGAGCATTAGAATGGGGAAGACAGGGGATTTAAGTGACTTTGAGCATGGCATGGTTGTTGGTGCCAGACAGACTCGGTCTGAGTATTTCAAAAATTGCTCGTCTACTGGGATTTTCACGCACAACCATCTCTAGGGTTTACAGAGAATGGTTCGAAAAAGAGATAATATACAGTGAGTGGCAGTTGTGTGGACAAAAATGCATTTTTGATGTCAGATGTTTTGATGGCCAGAGGAGAATAGGCAGACTGGTAGGGTCAGAATTTGGCATCACCCATCTTCCTTCTGGGTTCGCAAGCTCTGGCATTCTGATAGGCCCGGCCGCAATGACGTCATTCCCGCACATGCACGCAGGAGTCCCGGGTCACTGCACACAGCTCTGATGGAATGGCACAGGTATGCCATTCCTTCAGAGCGCGTGCGCCAGATTTAATGAAGAGAAAATATCTCCTAATTGGTGCACGTTTAGGAGATATTCATTTTACCTACCAAGTAAGTTTTATTACAAGCTTACCTGTAGGCAGGGGCGGACTGACAACTCATAGGGCCCCCCGGCAATAGGGGATCATAGGGCCCCTATGTCCTTGCCCAAACTCAAAAAAGCCTATGAAAAAGGTACCAGGGGCATCCCCCCCTACTGACCCCGGGCCCTCGGGCAGTGCCCGAGTTTCCAAATGGTCAGTCCTCCCCTGCCTGTAGGTAAAATTAAAAAACAGAGTTTACAACCACTTTAATAATAGCTGAAATGCATATATGATGCGTGCCCTATTTGTCTCTTGATCTTTCATTGAAGAACATTGGAGTATTTTCACCTTGTGTCAGAACCTTTCATGAATATTTAGAACTTTAATCAAGAAGAAGAGAGGGGACGCCACACTTTTGCAGAGGGATAAAGTCGCTGCTACAAGTTTAGTTTTGCATCCAGTGTACAGGCAAGTTGCCTGAATCTCCACTCTCTAGAGTGTTTTACTCAAACAATGACCTAATTTGTAGTGTTGATTCTACGAATGAGCTTGTTTCAGTGAAAGACATTGGAGGGCGGCTTCCTCTCTCTTCTTCATGCTTTATATTTCAAGCAAATGATGGACCGATGGGTGAGGCAGCACCTGTAGATGGGAGTGGGTGGGCAGATGTCCAGTAGCATGTTGGATTACTTGTATTTTGAACGTTATTTGCAGATGGAGGCTCTGTGACTGTATAAAGTATGTTAATACCCCAACTTTTAATTTTATCTACTTTCCAGTATGTTATTCTCCAGGATTTAGTACTAGAGAAAACATACTATACACTGTCCTTATTTCAATGCCTTTGTTTCCAAAAAACAAAGAAAATATGGGAGAGATGGGGCAGTCTGGCAAGGGCTGTTTGCAACGTCTGTTTGAACC